CCATCAGAATGCTTCTGTCTGGTTCAGGTTGCGTCTGCACTTGTATGCACAGACACCCGTGCACGCTCGAACAGGAAGACCACCAACATCGTGGAACTGCTCGAAGAGAACCTTAGGGCGCTGACGTCCCAATATGGCTGTACTCGATACTCCCAGGAGACAATGACCTCGGCAGTACTCGACAAGTGTGTCCCTGTGACAGCAGAAGGTATCTATCTTCGAAAGGGGTTAAACGTTTATCTAAATCCTTTCCGACAGGTGTGCCCGGTGATTCAATGACGAATTGTTCACCGATGTCAATCGTAAAATGGGATATAGCAAGTAATCCTCCACAATCACTGTCGGACGGGACTCCTGAGGGCCTGAATGAAGACATTGCAAGCGCATTTTGCGAGAGCATGGCCGATCCAGACGGATGCTTCGCACAGGCTCCGCCGATTCCCGACTTTGAAGATCTAGCATGATGTGGATGTATTCACGCATACTACTCTATTGGCTACTGAGCCATTATGTCTCACGGACAGACGGTCAAGTATGTATGAAGTTCAGAGCCCGTACTCGGTCTGAGCTTATTTTCTAATCAAATCTTGCCCGCAGGTTTTTTGTCGTGTCATTATAATCTTTTTGCGCGGCATTTGCGATACTAGACGTCACTGTACACTGTACTCTAGTCTAATACATTTCCGCAATTCTGTGATGGTATTGGTGCTCTTGCGGCAATGTAGCCTGTGGTTTGTGTGGCATATTGGTTGCCTGCGTTGTGTCATTGTTTCCATTACAAACAACTCCGTCGCGTCATATACCGCAAGGCGGGAGCGGCTTCTTCTTTGCGGCTACGTACTCTCATCCTAAGGGAAGTCTAAGACAGCCGGCACCATACAAAAACTTCAGTGGGAAAAAAGGACTTCTCGCGACGACGGCACCGCGAGCGCCTTTGGCGAGCACGGCTCCGCAGCAGACTCGGCTAACCTTCGCGGCTTCGTCATCAACGTCATCAACGTCTTTACGAGCTTGCATCCGCTTTCTGCTATGTCGAGGCCATCCGAGCCAAGGTCCCCGGCCTCTCTGCCGGCGACCCCGCTGGCTGCGGGCACCGTGAAGCCGACCAGTTCGACTGGATTGTTCTTGCCTCCAAGAGTGCAGGCACCGCGCCTCTGCCTACTGTACGCCCACGACGCAAGTCCCATTATGGCATCCCGGTTCGCCCAGCAAGAAGCCGTGCACCGAAACGTAGACGTTGCGGCTGGCACCGAACCCTCCTCCCCCTTACTTGACCCTGCTGCACGTTCATTGCAGCATTGTTTCTCGCAGCATGACCGCTGCTTTCAGCGTACATAGGTAAAGCGTAGAAGATATCTGCCGTGCGAAATCGGACGCTGTGAGCGTGTGCTTGGGGATGCCACCCTCGGTTGGCGTCTATGGACCGAGAACACCGTAACATTCGCTCGAATCAAGAATGCCTATTCCGTTGTGCACTCATGCTACTCCATATACAGTTTACTTTGTGCTTATATTGTTTGTCTTGATAGTCCCATTGTCCTGATGTCCCCCCTGTACCCCCTTAAATGTAATTTTCTTTCCTACATTACAGTGAAATCAAGCCTAGTTTGAGCTCGCCCCGCAGTTTGCGCCAGGTTTGCGAATCTGGCAACCTGACCTCAACGCGAAAGCGAGCAAACCGGCCGAACCAAGCCGCGAAGCGGTAAAACTTAGTTCACGGATCTAGCCATAATGTTGCTAATGAAAAGCCCCTCAGGTGCCTGCCGCGGTAAATTGCTTCTGGTAACGTACACATCGCTGGCAAGGCACTTCAAACAGGGTTCATCTTACAGCCATTCAAGCATCGGTATAAAAAAGGGCAGTAGCACAAGTGACGCACTTTGCGGCTGGAGTGATCGTGAATGCCCTTGTCGGGAGAGTATTAGAAGCATACCTCCCGGGTGAAGGGAACCGCGGCCACCGAGTGAATGGGCCCATTGACGTGCGTTACATACTCTGAGCTACATGCACAATTTTTTGGGACCAAGATTGCCCATAGAGCCGTGCAGGTATATTACCAGATATTGACCAGTATTCAAGCCATGTGACCGCGTTGACTTCTTCCCACCACTGGTTGACGCGCCAAAACGCGCCGTCGGGCCCAGAACGCGTCTTGAACTACTCGCTCACAACGCGTCGCGTTGTCGTCGGAATACTACAAAACAAGCTTCTAGTGTCTAAAGTGGCTCAAATGCCTGCCGGGCTTGCAAATCCTGCTCGACTCGCGGCTCCTCTCACTGCTGCAGCGGGTATGGCTCCAGCTGCCAATGCGCCCGCTGTTCCAACGGCACAAAGTCCGGTGACACCACCAGCGCAGGATGCGGCGCGCAATCAAGCCAGTGTAATGGCGCACATGATTTGCTACCCCATAGCAAATCTATAACAAGATTATAATTCCTCAGATAGTTGCAGGGCGCGCTCCAGATTCAACAAGCTTACGCGCAACGCGCGCCGTGGGCTAGACTCGCTCAACTCTCTCAAGCCCAGCCGGCGCAGCTAGCACAACCAGCACCGGAACAACTACAGACATCTGATAATGTCCATGAGAAAGTGAAACTCGAGTACCGGAACGCGCGCTCGGCGCAACTCGACAAGACACTGGTGCTGTTCATGCGAGCTGCACAGAGTCTGAACATGACGCGATACGCGATGTTGCAGGATATGAACGCCGTGCGTGTAATAATGCGTACTTGACTCTCGTCCATACTAGCACTATATTCAGCAACATGGGCATACCGCCGACTGGTGATGCACCTACTACCTCATATTAGCCAACGACATAAATACCTAAGTAAAGGCAGAAACGGATGGTACCGATACTGGGAGTCACCCTTTAACCTCTCCTCGCAAGACGCCCAGTCACCCCAGCGCATTGAGGCCGGTCTTGTTCCCTTCTGTCTCCTGTTTGCCATCCTCTTCGCGAGAGCGCAAGGCCCCGCTTTTGTCTCCTTCGCCCGACGAGTCCGATTCTGAAGACGGTGGTCATGTTCGATCTCATCTTTTCGGCTCGCGAGATGCCACGTCGCTCACTAGAGGAAAATGAGGATGATACCTCTCTTGATTAACCTCGCGCTGACGCGACTCTCTCACCGTGAGTGTACAACATCACCATACCTGATTCTTTGCCCGAACACCCGCCTCCGGCTCCGACAAAGACATCATGTGTCAACGGTCACGCGGCTTTCACGGAGGAAGATATTGCCTACTTCGTACAGATGATTCTATGGCACGTCAATAATAGACCCAGAGTCGGCAAGAAGGCTATAATGGCTGCTATCTGTGAGCAGGCATGCATGCCACTTTTAATGCCAGTGCGACGGTTTTTTGACCTTCATTATCTAAATACCTCACCGTCGTAACGGATCTTAGGACTCATTCTTGGGCCGCGCCAAAGGCGGTGATGTCTTGATGGAGGAACAGCGTATGGCTGCTCTTGCGAGGTTGAATAGTACCAAGTCAGAGCCATAGTTGATTATTCGTAGGATATTTTTGAAGATTGCTCATATCATACCCTAGAATGAATCTCTTTAGTATGCTTGTGCCCGACAACGGAGATTCCGTAGCGCCTTGAATGTGAGAGAAAGGATCGTCGTAAAGAGTCTAGCACTAGCATGATTGGAACGACAGACGTTTGCCAGCTTCGCGTTTGGCACGGGGAACACGGGCCGATTTTTTTGCCACAAAAGGCACCAATAAGACTACAGATTTTATTTTCCCATCTACCCACAGCTCTGTACGGATCTCGCAGAGCCCATTTGAGCTCAGCATACTATTCAGAGGTCACCCTCGGCTCTACTGCAACCTGTTTGGTAGCAGTATACGCGCTGTAGCGAGAGCTGGCGGGGAGCGCGGGAAAAAATTGCAGTTTTATTCAGCCTTTTTCTGAAATAAAAGCGGCCGATGTTCCCGGTGTGGTACCTGGTTCTCCCGACTCCTGAGTTCGAGGGGGGACTCTTTACTACACGTCGAGGCGCGATCTCTTTGAAAAGAAGTTTCGCGTCATGGAAGGGCTTTTGGTACCATTTGAGAATATGCTCTCAAGGGGAGCTCGGATTTTGCAGCTGTACAAAGTTCACGCGACAGCAATCGATCCCTTTCGTTCTGTTTGTTGTATGGCAACTCTATCATAATTGCTGCTGACGATCAACGCCTAGAATAAAGTCGCTATGACCCTTTCCACAGCAATTTTTGAGGGGCTGTTGCTGTTCTGACGCAGCGCAGTGCGACGCGGGTGATCGTGTTGCCCCCATTACATCGTTCGGCTCGGCGCCTCTTTGTCGTCGTTAGCGCGACGCGCGAGCGACGTGTCTCGGCGAACTCGTGCTGCAGGTATACTTACGTAGCTGCTCCTTTGTTGTAGCACTCGAGGGCTCCTACACTTTCTGCGCAGGGAGTGAGGGACTCGAAGAGTGGAGCGATCTTACAGTTCATAAGCGACTTGGACACGACACGATCATGCAGAAGTCTATAAGTGCCTGTGAGCGTTATACTAGAGAACTATTGAGTACTACAGTGTGCTGTACGATTTTTAGTGGCAGACCCACATAATCACTCAGGGGAGCTCAGAACTGGGACATATTGGCAGTCTTCGGGCGTCAACGTTGGACGTTGATTGGACAGACACTCCTGACACATAGCAGAGGCGCCATGTAGATAGTTTTCCGGCTACCAGATATGCCCGCAGGGCCGTGTATTTACATGCTGCAGTCTCAGTCAAAGGAACAAGACCGCAATCGCCAGCATGCGGAGCGTGAGGCAAGTCAAAGAAGTCAGGTGACCGCGTTTCGGGTCTCACCGTTCCTCGTCAAACAAAGGACTGGCACGCAGGCAATGATGCAGTCTATCACATGTGCACTATCGCCGTCGTTGGGGGAAGGTGTGAAGCTGAACGTCTAGCAGCTTGTTCTGACTCTCCTCGACGCCTCTTTTGCGGAGAACCACGCCGATCGTACGTCGTCGATATGCAGGCAGCGATCGCGGAACATGTGGAAGTGCAAGACGGGGAGCCAACCGGGTACATGGCAGGAAGGCTACCTTCCGTATGTATATCACCATGCTGCACCTAATTCAGTCGCCTGTGAAGCTCATATCTGCGGGTAGGACACCGTGTTTCCGCCTGAAATCCTCAGTCATATCTTCCGTGTCTTGCACGGACACTTCGTATACGAGGGGGATTGCTTCGACGATCCATCAATCGCGCTCACGATGCAGAGTGTTTGTCGGTACTGGCGCGCGGTTTCTCTGGGGATGCCCGATCTGTGGGCGTGTACGATGAAGGAACGCAATGACGCATGGGTGAAGACGCTGCTCGAGCGCGCGACGCCGTCGTTCGTGGATATCGACATCAAAGCTCCGTACAAAGACGCTCCCTTTGGCGGTCCTTACCCTTGGCCCAGGGTTGTCGAGACTTTGCTTCCCTACACTGCAAAACTGCGAAACATCCTCTATGTGGGTTACGACGACCTTCCGGATGGCATGTCCGACTTCGACTTTCATGACATATTCGTATCCCCCGACTTTAATCCGCGGGTGCTTCTTTTCAAGCTTCCTGAACCCATAGGGCCGGGGTACCGGGGCAGGATGAGATTCGATGGCCGTGTTTTTGCAGGAAATCCACTGCGCAACTTGAGATCTGTCACTTTGGTTGCGTGCAAAGTGTTCGGCCGTGACTCCGCCGTCTTTAACGCCCGTAATCTGACCGTTCTCGTCCTTCGCCACTGCTACTTCGAAGACTGCACGCTCTCAGACATCCTTCTGGCTGTCAGCGCGATGCATGACTTGATCATATTCGAACTGGTCGCTGGTGCTCATGAGCTATCGCCACCGCCCAATATCAACTCGCAGAGCCCGGATGACGTATTGGACATACCCACCGTAAGGACGCTCAAAGTCGAACTGCCTGCGGAATATGCCTTCTTTGCATTTCAGGCGCTGAGGTTGGACCATCGTTGCGCAATCTCCGTTGTCCTGCTAGGGCCCGGTCGGGCGGAGCCAACCATCTCCTATCTGTGCGCCAAGCTCGACGCAACATTCGGGAACCGCTTGAACAGCGTGCTGTCCTCGCCTCTTTCAGGCTTGCGCGCTGAAACCCTGTCAACCGGGTTTATAGGCTCCGACGCGTCCGAGATACAGTTCATAATCGAGACAAAGGACATATCTGCAGCTGACCCACGTCAACACGAGGCTGGTCCATCGTTTGGCATCAGTCTCGAGGAGCAAGAGCAAGGGAGCCACGAAGAGTTTCTGAAGGACGCACTTCGTCATATGATCCGTAACTGGAGCGCGATCAGCACAGTCACTACCGTTTGTGGCTCAAACATGCGCAGCGACATCTGGAAGGACGTGCTTACTGCCGCACGCAGTGTAGAACACATTTATTCGGAGGGGCCCCGCCCGGATTTGGCGCAAACTTTGGAGACGCTCCTGAGCAACCCATCACCGGAGCATGCCAACGAGCCCGTGCTTTTCAACCTCACTACCGTGACCGTCGATAGCCGCACTGAGGATCTCGTTGTTGGCAGGACTGAATTTTTCGCACTTCTGGCAGCCCTCGGAAGGCCGACCGAATGCGATGGCAGGGGTCCGAAAGAGCGCGAGTTGCGCTTCGTGTGCGAGTCTTCCATTGGCAGGGAGCAACTTCCGAGCTTCAGGGTTCTTGTTGACTGCAGCGGTCAAGGGCGATACAGGAACGCGCGGTGGTAGTCGACGCGGAGTACATGACTGTCGTGTCTTTCTCTTATTTTTCTTGTAAGGGCTTCGGTCGGAGTACTTCATTGTCGTTCATATGTAATCTCGGGTTTGCATCGGATGAATTATGCCTCCTGAAAGCAAGAAACCCACGGGTGGATTGCACGACTGATGAATTTGGTGAGCAACCAACGTACGTTGTGACCCTGGACCTGACCGCGGCACAAATATTCTCTCTCTGCCGCTAATGGCTCTCGCTCTCGTCGGTAAACAGTCACGTACTATGATATGCAGATCGACATCAGTGGGCACCGCCGGAGGTTGGGGTGGTATAGCACGCATTCTGAATGACTACAGACCATGATCGCCAGCCAGGAAGCCATCTCATACATTGACCAGTTACTTGAGCTGCGGGTGTTGGCTTCACGCATCAACCTGTTTTACTGTTCATCAAAGTCAATTGGCAGTGCGTCACAGATAATCGAAGCAAATTTGACTTCAGCGTACGAGGAACATCAAGGACTTGAAGCTGGAAAGTGTTGATGATGCCAACCAACATCTGAGCGCACAGTTCTTTCCCAAGCGGCCCGTTCAGTGGCACATTGACACTATAGTCTTTGTAGGCTTTGAGTGCTCTTCTCTCACGCAGAATGCAACACCGTATAAGCTCTCGTGGCTGAAAGTAAGTCTGGCATTTCATCGACTTTTGCTGCCGACCAGCATCGCCTATCCAGGCCCTACGGCCTTGCACCATGGCGCCCGTTCCACGATCGGAGACGTGTGGTCGTCTGAGTTGTCTTGAAAGCAGTCGAACGAGTGTAGAGATGTCCTTCTCGCACGCAGCGCCTGTCTTCCTGGCGACGGGCCAATATGCATCTGACTGCAGCTTTGAATTCACTACCAAACCCTGACAGAATGAGTGTAGATGTGTCAAGAAGGCTCCCCGCCAAGAGCGCGAGTTTAGAGGTAGTCTCCCACGGTTACCTGCTGGCCGTATAGCCCTTTCCGTCCCCGAGTTCGGGTTCGTGGCTATTTGCCCACGACCGGTCAGTCCGGAAGCCCGATCTGAACTTCGAATGCTGGAAAGCGTGGAGCTTGTCAGTTGCCTTCGACGCTCATGTCACTGACCAAGAATAGAACCTTGAGCACTTACCTATGTATTTAGACTGTACTATGGCAATGGCGATTGAAAGTTCAAATGGTCGTCCAGCAAGAGCAGCCTTCCTCGGCTGGAAACTCGAGGTGCGAACAGCGGCAGTGCAACTGGCGAAGGGGCGGAGTTCAACGTTGACGGCGTATCTATCTGTGATGCTTCACTGGGTCGCCCGTGTCAATGTCTCACTATGCTCAGGTTTCTGCGGCTGGGTGCGCTACAAAGGTGTTCCAGTGGCTGCAGAAGATTATGCAAGCTCATTCTATGGCTTCTGCCTCACGCCGGCCTGGACTTTCGCAGGGAACGGCGGATACACTGTGCTATCCCATGCCCATGCCCGTGCCCGTGCCCGTGTCAGCCGTACTCCGAAATATGTGGGGTTCGGTTGCCGTGTCCGTCATACTACCGGCAGAAATACGATGACGGCAGTTCGCGACGGCGCAATACGTATGTGTGTGGTTGATAACTACTATAGGGCTGCACGCGGCAAGAACCGCCACGGATGCCAAGCTCGAAGGAGTACATACCATGCAGGATGAGGCGGGGGGCGTACTTCCGCAGTCAGAATCCGCACATCTGTCAATGGGAAAGTCCTATATCAGTCCAGCTTCCTTCACTTCTTCGCTTTTTTCGTCTACTCTCCCCCATCTCTTCATTCGAGTTGATCGTCGTCCTTCTTAGCTCATAAACACTCCCCCCTTCCTCTCCCCCTCAGACCGACCTCGTCTACAGCCCTCTGCCTCCTCATGCAACATAGCACCCATACAAAAAGTGGAATCTCTTTGAGATAGACAGAAAAAATATTAGTCGTTGCTCGATTGTACGATGAGACATCCGTGCTTATAGCTATCAATCGTGCTCAATTCCTCAGGGTTGTTCGCCGATCGGCAGCGGCCCTCCGACGAGCAGTCACCCAGCGATGCTGCTTAGATAAAGACAGCGCGATTCATGTCGTAGTACTTGGTCGCAAACAAGACTGGGTATCAACTTCCTTATATTCTAACCCTAACCTCAGAAGCCTCCGGAGCTACCGACGGCCTTACAGCATCAGGCACAATCTACAGTGGCTCCACAACGCCAGCCATTTCAGATGTTGCGTTCGTTCCAGCAAGACCCGCGACTAGCGTAGCAGTAATCCTATCGCCGAGAGGAGCTCGGCTTGTTCTGGTGTGCAGAATGCAATTGCCGCTTCTGCTCCGTACTGTTGCGGGTCGCTTTCTCATGCTTCATGATGATATCCAGGGGCGCTTCCAGGACATTAACATGCGTATCTTTGACCTTTATGTCGAGGTCGTGTTTGCTCGCACGGAGCGTCTGCAACAAGTCTGATTGACACTGGTCGCCGCCCGCTCGCCAGAGCGCAGTACACCGTACTGTCGTAAAAGGCCAGCTCTTTCTTGATGGGAAGCGGTCCCGAGCAATCCTTGGGCGCCCGTACTGACAGCGACGTTCCGACCTCCATTGTCCATGAGCGGCCGTGACAAAGCTGAGCCCTGTGGCCGTCGGCCCTGATGTGCCATCTTTTGCTGGCAGGTCTATCTGCGCGCCAGCCGGCGCCCTCCTAAGTACCTGACCCCGCACCGTTCGTTTTGTCACATCCTGTCCGTCAAACAGTTCACACGCTTGCGCACGAGATGCGCTGATAGGCAAGGCAATCTACACGGTCTTGTAGAAGTACACCACGCGCACCAGCGTGCCGTCGAGACGGCTATCACATCAAGCACTGTGGTGAGGAGGTCGTTGATGCTAGGTCTACCCAGGAGGGCGAGTCAGTTCTGGGTACCATCCACATAACTATGTCGTAGTTCGATCGAAATCTGTGAATCCCGCTGCCGCTGCGTTGGGTCTTTGTCTCCTATGTAAGAGTTGAAGCGGGACATCGAGGGCCTGCATCGTCATCCGTTCATAACGCATGGTCATGGTTTTGCAGGCTTAGAACGACCGAACAACTCGAGGAAGGAGTGCACAGCGTGTCTCGCTAAGAGCATCCGGCATCGGCCTGCCAGTTGGAGCCGGTCTCACTGATACATCTCCTTCTACTAGAACTTCTAGCATGGCGGATGAAGCAAGCAAAACTCACCGCTCAGCGCCTCTCAGACTCCAGAGCCCGCCGTGCCTCGAGATGCCGTAACCACAGAAAGTGTACAAGTCCTTCTGTCATGGTCCCCAAAGCCAGATTTGAGCTGTGTCACATAAATCTGTATTCAAGTGATAGTAGTGGTGGTAGTGGTGTAACACCACTGCTGTCGGAATTGCTCTAGCGCAAAAGATTGCTCGCCGGCGAGCGGCCGCACTAGCGCATTGCAATTCTCCTTGTCGCGAAGGCTTATTAGGTAGTGGTGGGGTTGCATGAGGGTCTTCTCAGCGTTCCTGCAGCCTGAACCGGTCCTTCACCAGGTGTAGACTATAGTAGTCGCGGCGATTCCTTTACGTTGCCGAGGGGCTTCGCGCAAAGGTAATGCCTTATCAAGTCCGCTGATTAGGCCGTCAAGAGTACAACCAGTGCGGCGTAGCACGGCGTCTGAATGGGAGTGCGTTTGAGATTGACATTCCCGTCGGATCACATTCCCGTCGGGCTAATCAAGGCCGTCGGGCCCGTTGAATAAAGAGATTGCCGGATGAACTGACGTCACTTTTGGTCCAATGGCCACACCATGATCACTCGCTTGGGGCCACCAACCGGCTTCAGAAGAGGTACAGTAGTGTTGCCGTGAGTTGAGTCCAGGTGCGGCCGGGTGGAAGTTCAACTCGGCTCGGCTCGGGTGGGCTCAAATCGTCTAACGTCATCGATTGATACGGCGAGCTTGCGACCGGCAAACTCCGGTCGGCTGCCAGGCATGTACCACGACGTCTCTGGTGACCCAGAGGGATACTATTCAGGTCATCGGCAGTAGTCATGCACCATAAAACTATGGATCCCGCGATATTCGAGCTAAGCAGCCGAACCCCGAGTACCCGCTGTAATTCACCGCGAGCAGCAGCCTCGTGTGCCTCGTGTCCGCGCTCTACCCGAACTCGAGTCCGGTTCAAGCCCGACTTGAGTCGCGTTGAGTTGAGTTCGGGTTGAGCTGGGAGCGCTGTGTGAACTCGACTCAACTCGCGATCGAACTCAACTCCCGGCAGCACTATGTAGCAAGGTGCGTGTCACTCACGCGGGCTTTGGCGGCCGTGCAGTGCCTCACCCGAGCCGTGCTTGTATTGTATCTCACATTTTGCTTCGCTCCGAGAGGGAGTGTGTGTACTACCGCCCGCCGTCTCTCCATGACTGGGGTAGACAGTACAGAAGGCGCAGCAACTGTTTCTGCAGGGCCAAAGACGTTGTAAGGACTGAATAAGGAGGGCGGAGCGCGAAACGGCCGCGCTTAGGCGCGGTCACATGAGATACGCGCGAGACGCATCGCCAAGCTTGCGCGGAAAGGGTGCGACAGGCTCGAGCGGAAAGGGTGCGACAGGCTCGAGCGGAAAGGGCGCGATAGGCTCGAGCAGAAAGGGCGCGACAGGCTCGAGCGGAGCTGTACGGGCCGCGAGCTGCTACGTGCAAGCGTGCCTCCCTGCTGGATACCGGGGAAAAGAATCCGGAGCTTGGAGAGTACTCCCAGCGCGCGGCGCTTGGTCTCAAACAATGAGAGAGGGAGGAGAGCGGGCGAAAAAAAACCTGTTACATCATGAGCTTTCCATTAGCCTCCGGCCAAATACGTAGTATGGAGCCCCGTTTTTTGCTTGCCATGGAGAGGCAAGACCTACGGCCATGGACCTAATCAGTGCGGCTCATCGCGCACCACTTCCCGCGGAACGTCGCAATCGTTGCCGGCTGACCGGTCGCCAGCGCCTGCATCTTCCTACGGCAAGGGCATGTAGAACAAGACATCGCTGCCAAGTATTGCTTCGATGTGCACTCTGGTTCTAGCTATGGTGAAATTTTGAAGAGAGGCGAAGGAGGCGGGCAGTTTCAATCATGACAACACAATGAGGCAGTCACGGACCTCAAACACAGGGCGGGTAACAGAACATAATGTTCATTGCGGACGGCTTGCAGAGCGTGTAATCCGTGTAGCGCGGGTGTGAGGGGTGTGAGCCATGAAGTCTCTAGTGTACGAAGGTCTCACATGTCCACCAATGCACCCGAGAACTATAAGGAGTCGTGCCCTGGTCAATGATGAGCACTCTGCGCTTGTGGCTCAGGCTTGCCAAGTCTCATTTCGACAGAAGCACTCGCCGACGCTAGTCAGTCTTCCCTTGCTAGATACGGGTCCGGCTAGGAACACCAGAGGACAACCTTCATGCTTGACGCACCATAGTGTGCGATCATTGGAACATTCGTTCTACTTTCAATCTCTGCAAGTCTCAACGTCATCGTGCCAGTATCCTGATAAGTCGCCCCTCATACGTGCAATCTGTGTCAATATTGGAAATGAATACAATTCACGGCCTGTGTCTAGCCTCCCGACGATCTCCAATCACACCGGACGAACAAGCAGTTGCATACGGCTCAGGAAGATCCCACGAGCGACATTCATGCCTCGTTCCACTACACCAGGGTTTTGAGGTGTGCCTTGGCTTTGTGCTTTGCGCTCCTTGGTGGCAGGAGCTGCAGAGGATCTTTTTCTAAGAAAGATACCGACATGTCAGGCGAGCACACGAATCACCGATACGCGCTAGCCTACTCACTCTTTCGGGCTTCCCAGCGCCAGTGCACAGGGTCCAAATGCCACTGTATCTCACTTTGTTCCTTCCCGACATAGTGTCCCAGTTTCTCGACATCTGTGGGACAAAGTGTGCAATCGCGGTTATCACCCACAGTCAACGCGTAACCCGTTGTGTCATCGCAGCGCACGACTTGCACAAACTTGACGTAGGGTGCATTGGCGTTCCCGATGTCCGCATTTGTGACGATTTCGACAGATATGTCATCGGTTTCTAGTGTGTCCTCGTAATCGACCTTGTCCTCGTCTCGATCCCCGAGATAGCTGACGAGGTCGTACATTCCTTTCGCATGGATGAAATCGAGCGCCTCGAGGTCTGTCATGGCCCATCCGAGCCACAGCAGTGGTGGCACTTGTGGTAGACCGTTGTCTCCCAGCAAGGCCGGATCCAATTGCGTTTCCGGTATTGGCGTATTTTGCGCAATATCTTTGCGTAGAGCATCCTGTGCTAGGCGTTAGCGGCATAATTGTCCTACACAGTACGTGCATACCGTGTAGTCCAGTTTGGTTCCCGAAGGATAAAGGAGCGCCTTACGAAGGTGCTCTTCCGACATTGAGGGGAGAAGTGAGTAACGAATTTTCCCATCCAGCACTTGAGCATCGAACTGAGACCACGTGAAGCGCTGATAAGTGACCTCCACTCTCGGTGTCACGCGTCTCGTCACCGTGCTGACGAACAGAGCAGTCGTCGGGGAGATCGACGGCACCTGTCCAGAGCGCTCACCGGGTTTGGGTGCGACCTAGCAAAACGGTGGTCGTTTTGTTCTTTATTACGTATGCGAACCTCCCGAAGAACAGTAGTGTTGAAGAAACATTTGGTGTGCCCGGAGTTATGCCCGCGGCCGGTGACGATTAATTGGGTCGTAAACCCACAGTCTGCTTCCACAGCGGTGTGAAAAAAAGAAGACCGTCTTCATGCGTGTGAGGAGAACCTTCTCCCCAGCCTCCGAGAGAGCAAGGATCTCGCGATCGAGACGGCAGTAGATATCTCTTGCGCAGCATTGCAACAGAGTTGCGCTGAACTTACCCCACTCCTCGTCCTCTAGCTGTTTTGTCTAGAAGTCTCGCGTGCTCAAAATATGCCGCACAGTATCGTAAATGAAGCAAATACGACTCGCGCAGCACCGGTGACAGACCCCGACGAAGCCCTAGGAGAAGCGTACAAGCGTGCGGGAAGGCGCGAGGCAAAGAACGCAGCCCAAGTGGATAGGTTGCCGGACACTGACTTATCATGGTCGATACTCGACGTCGCGTATGTTCTCCAGGCTTCATGGACGACTCGTGTCTCTAATGAAGTCCTAGCAAGGGCAAACTACTTCAACGGACGTTCAATAACTCATTGAAACTCATCAATATCCGTGTGTCTATTGCTCTGCGACAGAAACGCGAGCATCCTTGGTATCCCGTTGTCCGAGAGCTGCTGCGCCTCGCAGAGCGCTGTTGTGAGCTCTTTGACCCCCGCCTTGAGTTTCGGATCGACAGTCAAGGGGCTCTGTATGCGGAGGAGATTGTGAAGTTGGAGGACGTCGCACAGTCTGAGTACTTTGCGAGTGCTGCTTCGGGTAGTGGAAGCCATGGCCGCTCGAGAAAGACGCGTGTGCTCGCATCAGAGACTAAGTGGCTTAGAGAAAGTATGTTTTCGGGTTCAAGAACATGTGAAAGCCGAAGTGACTGACATGCTCTCGAGATATACAAGACAACCGATACTTCAACATTCAGAATAACGAACCTGGAGTTGACCACACGGGATTGAGAACCTCGCGAAGGCTTGCTGCACAGGCTATTGACAACGCGCGTGCGCTACCTGATCGTGGGGCCACTGGTGCTCGAGCTTCGAATGCCCCTCTCGGTGCAACTCGGGCGGCACCCGTTCAAGAGGCGCCTGGTGGACAACCCTTGGACGCCCCTGTTTCCGCTGCTCAAGCGGAAGCCACTCGCGCGGCGCCGGGCGCCCAACCATCAGATAGACCTGCTTCTGAGCCGGCAATCACGCTTTCTGCGATAGACATCGGTCGTGCGATACGCAAGATTCACCGCTATGCAGACTTTCGCTTCCTCGGTGTTCTCTTCGCTGCTGGCTTGGCACTCGAGCTGCCTCTCTGTGTCGTTGAAGTCAAGGCCTTCACTGAGATCGGCCTGGACCAGCACTGCAACGATGCCAAGAAGCACGCGACGAACGCGATCCGTTCATCCATGAACCAGATTATTCAACAGGTTCAGTTAGTGTTTGAAGAGAACCACAACCTGAAGATCGTCTGGGCCATTGGCGTTTGCGGGACATGGTTCAGATTCCTCAAGTTCACGCGGGAGAAGACACCAAAGTTCCAGTTTGGGCGGGTTGACGGCAAGGGCCATTACACGCCTAGCCACGCCGAGACACGTACGGTGCACCAGATTCCGGTATCAAGGTCCCCCATGATCAATCTGTTCAAAGATCATAGGCGCCGAGAATACTCCTCAGAGCTCCTGATGTGCTTCCAGCAGATGCTTGCAACTGCAGTTCTGCAGGTGAAGCACTTGAATCTTAGTCCCCCCTTGGGCAACACTTCGGAGGATGACAACGTAGATGATGATATGGACATCAAAGTAGAAGAGCATGACGTGTCACATATACCTAAGGCTGATGTTTAAAATATGTATTGAGCTGAATCCTTGTGCATATCTCGATTTCTACCAATATCACGTACGCTCTTTGAGCATGGGTATTAGAGGATTGAAAGCCAGGTCACAAATACCATCCGATGTTCTTCGTGTACAGAGGTATCGGTCTTGAAAACCTTACGTCGCAAGTTATATCGCGCCTCTGCCGGTGGCAACAAGACATTGCTGAACCCGCATTGTTTGTGTTCACCCAGGCTCGTACCTGACACTTGCGTACTGAGAGTATATGCTTCATGAGCATGACCATACAAAACAGCAGTACCTCAGCATGTGTGCATTGGAGCTGATTAGTAGGGAAATTCAAGGAGGCGGATCCGAGGTCAGGAGGTGAATCCGCCTCCTGAGGCAGAAAAAGCGCAAGGGTTGAGTGGCCTGATATAAACTTCATAATTGTCACTGGAAAGACTAGCAGAGAGGTTGGAGATTGAAGCGGCGTTAATTACCTGTTGAGTACCTGTCGACGAACCATGTCGATTGCATCTTAGCACGCTACTGATTGCAGACTTTTGTTCGAAGATGAAATTGAAATAGGTCAAAGTTCTTGCAGAACTGCTTCTTGGAAACCCCACACCATATGAGCAACACGTGAGTTCATCGTCCATGTAACGCGTTTTGAGCACTAGGCTATCACAGCCCTTCATCCCATTCCCAACAACCCTCTGCAGACAGAGAAAAGTGCTTCTTCTGAACACCGCACCTCAGTGTATGAGAAGCGTTCACAATATGGTTAGCCAGCCTCCGTCATTCAAAATAAACGCCGTGACCATATTACTGAAGGGAAGCAATAGGGAGACTGCCTATGACGGTGACGGCGCAGCAAAACAACACCACACCTTCCAGTCCAGTCCAGCCATCGGCAACGCCCAAGAAGCCAATCACACGCAGAGACTCCCAAGCGAAATACTCTTCGAGATATTTCTCATTGCCGCAGACATTGACTCACCTCGCGCGCCTAAACGCACTGACGGGGTGGGTATCGTCGGCTCGGAATGTTGGGAAGAATATATTCTCCAGCACAGAAGGGACGGTGCTTCTTGGGAGTACATAGGCCCCACCGTAATGTTTTCGCACACATACCGACGGTGGAGGTATATTGCAAAACGACCTCACATGTGGGCCAACCAAATAGCCTTGCTTCCTGATTATGTCGACGGTGGACATCATCGTCTCCCGAACCGCCTAACTGCCTCTGACGCTTGATTCACGTGGATCACCACAACGCGCTGACATCGGAGGGGCTTTGGACCATATGATGCGCAATTCGGAGACAGCCAAACGCGCGCGGACCTTGATTGTGTGCGAGCACCGACATAGAGCGTTCGGAAACCTCTGGAAGCCTTGATCGTTCCATGCCATTTCGATAAATTTACGGAGGATCTACATAAAGACGCGCCGTCTCTGAAAGCTACTCTAATCAATAGCTTCAGGTAGCGTTCACTATATGAGGTCAAAAATGGCTTTAGTGAATACAATATGCTACAAGATGAGTCCGTTATAACACCGACATGTCCCGGAGCACCTTCATGTCCTCCTCGTCGTATGGCCCGGTCTGGAACTGCCTGTCCATCAGCCATTGATTGTTATCATCGTTTCCCCAGCCATTGTCATTGTCGTCCGTGCCATCATCATCATCCGCGGTATCATCGTCGTCCGCGGTGCCATCATCCTCTACAAGAGCTTCGCCGTCTCTACCAAGACCTCTCCGAATGTAAGAGTGCGCGGGAGTGTATGGGGTGACAAAACGTGCGCCTGTCTTGTACAGCACGTCCCAATCAGTGTCATAAGGCACTTGGGGCCAAAATGAGTCATCGATGAGCAACACTCTTGAACCTTCCGCACAGGCCATCTTCCGGAGGATGTGTGCAAACGCATACTCCCAATGCTCACTTACGGGAAGTTGAGAGTCCCATGGCAGGTCGCATTTTATGTTGATGTCGAAGTCAGGAGGTACATCCGTCTTCACCGGCAGTGGCTTGTTGCATTGGGCATTAGCTCGTCGCCAGGCCTCGACCTGCAGATTGAAGTTGAAGGGTTTGAACTCCTTCGAAACCTTCACACGGAAAGTATCGCAGCGACCGTGTATACAGGCTAACATCATGTTAGCTCTTTCAAACGACGTTGACTGTATGAAAGACTCACGTAGGGCGCCCATCAGCCTGATCATTGCGTCCGGCGTGGGTGAGACATGCACAATAGTTAATTGCATATGCTTGAGCGTATCGCAGTCCATTCTCACGGCGTCGAATAGCCATAGCGCATGATCCATACTAAACGTTCCGAAGGTGATGGATGTCAAATGAGATAACATGACTGGTTCACAAAGAGAGTGATCGAGTGTTGATAATGGAGAGAGATATTCCACCGCTGTTTTCACTACGATTTTCCTGAGGGTGCTCGCACAGGGTGTAAAGACGTCGCGCACGATCTTGCCTATATCACAGTTGCTGAGAGATCCTTCGCAAGCCTCGTGTTGGTAAACATTCAGCGGCGCATTCGAGAAGGGACCGGGGAGCCGCATGTTCTTGAGTGAGACGTACTTGAGGCTGGACCAGTCCTTCGTACATAACTGCGCGGGAAATGAGCCCATCGGTCCTCTCCTAAAGCCAGAGTCAAGGATCAGCACTCATGCAACTAGAACATGTAGAGAAAGCGTACCTCATGAAGCAAGCGGAATAGTGTGCGTCGAGAGCTAAGTAAGCCACGCGGGCGACAAGCTTCGATCTCGACATCAGCCAGCCGACGATATCCATGCCTTCGGGTGGAGACCAAGCAACTGTTTTATGGTTCGGGGAGCCAGAACCCAAGTCTATGTGAAGGGGAGCCTCCTGGGCGCGAGCGATTGCGAGTTCGATGACTTCTGGTATCGGGACATCTGTTGCATGTCTCGCCCATAACGAGGGATAGGCAAGAGCAGCACGCCTGAGCAATGGAAAGGACCACATGAGACTGTAGTATCCCGGTTTGATCATCTTGCCCTGCGGCAAGACAACCTGTGGTCGATCCGTTTCGAAAACCTCGAATACGATTTCCTGGATGGTTTCTAGAGCGAGAGAGCGTAGCGGCGCCGATGTCAGGGGGTCCAAGGTATGTGAAGTATGGTGTTCAGCCATTGTGATCTGAGACTGTCGAAGTCTCTAACAGCAAGAATGTTGGCGCAGGGTCCACTGAGTAGGATGCAAGACGGGTGCGTCGTCGTAGTGCAAAGCAAGATGTGATCACACTTGGTGTCAGTCAACCACCGTTGGAAATTGGTCTTAGTCAACCACCCTCGAACCAATCAAAACCACATCGGACACAATCACGCGCGATGTGCGCGCGCACCGTTTCGCTCTGCGTCCGCGTCGGCTAATGCTGACGCTAACATTCACCTAATCCGCACGGAGTACAAAACTCTGCAAGCAGACGAAGCCGAAAGACGCTTGAACGGGCGGCTGCCTGTAATTGAAAATATTGCTCGGCAATTAAATACTCTTTGGTGATTGGAATACTACGTAGGTTATTATTGTCCTTGCTTTTGTAGGGACGAGACTCAACGCCTCGCACGCATTCAGGCGGTGCCATGTGCGATTTAATACCATCATCGACAGAACTCATCAGCCCGTCTGATTTAACACGCTCAGCAAGTAGGTCCTCAAGATGATTTACCAGTCGAAAGAGTCACAGTGCACATTGCTGTCTAGCGGAAGACACATTGCCGAGGCCGCTGTGAGTGATACAAAACGACAACAACCCTTAATCATCTCAAGAGTTTTGATGGAGCGGAGCACACCTACATAACGAGGAGATGTCTAGCCGCGAGAATGTGGAACAACAGCTCAGCAGCTGGAGCACGGCAATGAAAGGAAGGTTGGCGATAGGATCACCCAAGGATTGAAGGACGATCCGTCCGTGTACCTCTGTCATGCTGTCCATGCAGCGGCCCTTTGGAGGTCGTGAACGAGTTCCATACAAGTGAATATGGCGAACTAAGGTGTGTGCGGATTATCTATTCTCTCTTGCGACTGATGAGCGCTTGAGCGGTTACCTAATTGCCGCCTTCTCCGGCTGGGATTATGCTCTAACTAATGACACGTTCCACGATCGGGGCTCGTGCATGTCCATCTTGCCGTCCAAATCATCTATCTCTCATTCGCATCAATATTTCTTTTCATCATACGCCCCAGCGATAATTGACTGGTAGATACCAGCCTTACCAGAGTCTACGGAATGCTGAGTCTGACAGCTTCGAGACGCGTTATACTTGGCGATGATGTCCTGATATGGCTCTCTTGAAGCGCCGTTGACTGTGGAGAGCGGCCTCTCTTTACAGCATATGGGCTGCCGCTCACAGCGTCTCAGCCCACGTCCGCTCGTCAAGCACTCAGAGCGCACCACGTTTTGTGAAAGAGGGTTCCTCGATAGGTGGTGACCGGGGCGTTCGTGGTTGGCAGCATTGCGGCCGGAGCAAGCAATGCCCAAAAGCATTCACTACCTTGGCTCAGCTGAGATGCAACTCAATCCTGCACGAGATGTCATCACGTACTTTTGACATTGTACTCTGGCTGGATCCCCTCGCTCTCATCACTGCGCGTCTGAAGAGTCCCGGTGTATCGGCGACCGCGCGGAATGAGAAGGTCCCTTTGCGATGGGGTGCTTTGTTTCCCTCCCGCTATTGTGTATCGCTCATCGCTCTGAGCATCTAGCGGTATAGAGAATAAGTCGTAATATTGCTCACGTTGCTCATATACTTCGCGTCGACTTGCTTGCTGCGGACAGACGGTTCAATCGTCTATCGCTATGCAATTAGAGTCAATCAGCCCCACCGTCGCCGCGTTCTTTTTCCCGCATCTCGTTAAACAGGCTCGTATCATCATGGAAAGCAAAGTAGACGTGTGTTCACCCGTGACTGATGGTAAAGGGAGGCAGGCGTCAGCTGGGCGGAGTCGCGCTCAAGCTCCACAACTCCCACTCTCGGGTAGCCATATATAACACGTGTCTAGGCGTCAAACCAACCAATCGCAACGCGCAGCCCGTGAGAAAGTTAGTGCTACGTCTATTCAAGCAGACGCATACAAGGCGCCGAAAGCATTCTTGGCCTTCGACGATGGTCTCTGTCAAGGTGGTGCGCAGCTGGCCGGGTTTGGCAGATCGGGTCGCACATAAGAACGAGGTGGCTGGGAAGACAGTCTCCTGTTGACCAATAAAGGGATACTGGTAGGACTTCTGTGGGAGGGATTCAAATGAGAAGAGCACGCCGGTAGCAATGAGAGGAGTGTGAGCGCAATGATCGACGCAGCTTTGTGCGAGTGCGTGTGGCCTCGGCCTTGCGGGCGGGCGCGTCGCAGAAACAGCAAAAAGTTGGGAAGCGCATGTACGGTATATGGACGGCATTGTAAGCTACGCAACCCTCATCGCGTAGGAAATTGCGTCAGCGGGGGTTACAGACCACCTACGAACTCATCTCCGTACTAAAGTTCTCATGAGGGTTTTGATTTCCATCAGCCCGAGGAGAGTTGGCAAGCCCCAGAAGACATCGCAAGGCTTCAAAGGGCTTCTATCGCACCTACGAGTTCACATGGTAAGCAACCGATCGTTAGGCAGAACTGGAAATAAATTACTAGTATCGAGCACAGCAGGCGGTTCGAACCATCAGGCACTCGCAGCAGGAAGGGAAATTTCAATTATATTCATTTTTGTAAATAGGAACGATCGAGCATGTAAGAATGTGTGTATGAACACGTACGAAATGGCCGTAAAAGCGGATCCAGAATCACAGTCAGTGTCGGCATGGAACGAGCGTCAGCCATGGTCGTTCGCAAGGCTGAATGTGCATAGGGAACCCACGACACCGCGCGTCCGAACGGCGCGCGTCGCGCTAGTCTCGACATAAGACCCTTCATGCGGAGTGGCTCAATATGGGCCACGTACATCGCGAAGGTGAGCCCTAGCAATGATGCGTACGCTCAACGAGGCAGCCATATCGACACGAGCGTGTACCACGTACGTCCGGTGTCTGCTTAACATTGATGTGAGTAAAAGTAAATGTCATTCTTACCTTGCAAAAAATCCCGTTCTCTTACCGTATGACAACGTTGGGAATCGAACCCCTCACTCCTCTTGAAAGCAGGAATGATGATGACCACTACACCAGTTGCCAGTGATTGGAACGGGCCATATGTTTTGTTACTCACCATATGTTTAGATACAATGGGGGTGCTATATTGGCGAACCTCTGGAGGATATTTTTGAGGTTGAAAGACACTCGCAAGGTAACATTATGTCTTGATATACAGAGCGTGGTCTCGGGGAGACTGACTGTCTGCACTAGGTAGGTAGAGTAGCGATGGTAGAACTAAGATGTACAATCGATACCGGTGCACGGTGAGAGAGCGAGGCAGAACGCTGCGCAGGTCAACGTGAACATCAACGACGATCTCAAGCACGGGTTCCCACGAATACACTCGAGACTTCAAAACCTTGTCCCAAATCCATCTCGCGTTCTCGCGTCAGGGGTTTGTTCCGAACCTACGCGTCGCGCGTGGTTCATGCCGACTTCCACTTTCTCCCTACCTCCATCGACCCTCCTTTGCTATAACCTATGTACCACAGAATCATCTACGACTAGTGAGCTGGTATAGCGTGCAAGAAATGGGCTCCAGATACGCACCAGACGGCGGGCGTGAGCGATTGTGTGACGCGATGAAGGTCATGGGTGGGCGGGGGCGCCGGCGGACCAAGTCTCAGTAGATCTGCGATTCGGTGCGTAGATAATGCTCCTCTCCATCGTCTCCTTACTTATACAAACCCCCAGCTTCGTAGCGCCAAAGCGCATGGTGTTACCTCAAAGATGGTGTGCATCCCATACGGCATAGACTCGAACCAGTTCCAGCAACGGATCTTCCTCGCGAGTGCTCGAGCGGAGTGGGACTGATTCGAGTCTACATACGGCAAGCTTTTGAATCATTAAGGCCGCTCACATCGCGCCCAGTGTTGCTGCGCGGTCACAGCATGTAGCTGTCAAGCTGCTGAGCCTGACTCCCGGTGAACCCGTGCCTTCCTGTTCCCCGGCCCCCCTTCATCTTTGTGAACATTATGCTGGTATCATTGTGCATTTACACGGACATTTATCATTGTGCAGTTCATACCCACGGGACTAGTACCAGCATTCCGTACTATATCTACCCCGCTCGAACTACGCAGCATACATCTACTGCACATACATGCCAATGGACTTACCTTGAATGCGACCAGCGCTGAAACAGGCCTTGCGGTAGTGGCGCCCCGTGTGTGTGCGCGAAACGGGAATTCAAACCTAATAACCTGACAAGTTTCGAGAGGCCTTGCGCTCGTCTTTCGCGGCGAACTGTATGTGTTGCACTCTACATGACAAACATCGCTCCGCCTGGATGGCCTCTTACATGATCTCACAGCCCTTGGGGTTACCTTGCGAGGGTCTTCGCAGGGCGCTCACGATCTCGTACGTGTTGTAGCGCTCCTATCAGCCCCATAAGATGGTTGTAATCCGGATATGATCCCCCAAAATAGGTTATAATGGCGATAAGGTTTTAGCGGCTAAAACCGATTCTGCCGCCGCGCCACGCGTTGGGGATCGCTTCCACCCCCTCGCCGCACCTGGCCCGAATGTTGCGAGCAGGGTGCGTGCTTATCAATCCACGGTTTCCACTTTACGTCTTCCAAAATATTGTGTCCTCCTGCCAACCTCGAACCGAATACATGCACGCTTCCACAACAGAGCAGCTCCTCTTGTCACCACATACAACTGAGTGCTGCTGCTTTTATCGTCTGTTCATCGATAGTATGCTAGCCACTGACGGTTTGCAGTGCTCATATGCACTAACGCACATCCAAAGCGGGTATATCCTCTCCAATATCTTCGACGTCATCTGTCGATTTCGACCACTCCTGTGTGAAAGGTGATTTTCCATCTAATGTGGACTCACCAGTGAGTGTGTTTGCTTGCGTTGCTGCTATCACACGAATGCTCTTGCTCGCTCGAGCCATCTCGCAGGACATCACATTGGACATATGTGCCCTTATTGTGACCCGGAACAGTGCTTATCTCTGGTCTACTTTCATGCTCATATGCCGCCAAGTCAACTTGACTGCATACATGGATTATCTTGAGCGACAGTGGTGCAAGCCGCGGCTGCACTCGCTATCAGCAGGCCTCATTTGGTCACACAATTGCGCCTTAGCTCGCTAAACTCACGTTGGCGTCACTGCTATAATCAGATATTCATGCTCGGGCTGTGAGGGCGGGAATACAATTGAACTCGCGTCCTTGCGCCAGTCAGCGGTTGTCCAAAAAAGTGTCCCCCGGCGCCTTTTCTAAATGTGTGTGAGCATCATACTGAAGGTGGCTACTTTATGCATCCATGGTATTGTTGGGAAGGTGAGCCGTCGCCCAGACATTGCGTATGTAATGGTCTGTTCAGCGTTCTGAAACACGAACACGCCGCTCAGGAAGACAGGCGAAAGGCTTTTCTTCTAACGTCATCCCATTCTGCTATTGTTTGCCTGTGCACCACGCTTTCACGCTCAGAGCAGCATGTGTTAAGCTTGACTCCCGTATCTAACCTCATGTTCTCTGGGTCTGCGGCGGAGCTTGCATCAGAGCACCGCCTTTCATCGCTTTTCATGCAGACGCGCTAATGTTCAAATGGAAAAGCCCCATGAATATGTTCACTCAGGTGCAACGCTTAAGGGAGTCGTCACCAAGGAGCGCCACTGTGTGATCCAGCCCCGCGCGCAAGCTTATGAGCGACGGTAAAGAAGTCCCGAATGTGTATTGTATACACCAGCCAGTACTTGCAAAGCACCCTTTGAGGCTTCGACTGCACCACTCAGACTCACTCCAGGCATTTTTGATAGCGCCTTGTGGGGGCCAAAGACTTGCGTTCTGACCGATGTTGACGTTTGGGTGGGAGTATAAGGTCTATATCAGTCAGGAAGATGGCGGCAATAGCGGTAGGCACAGCTGAACTGCCGTCCAAGGAATGTGTCCGATCACAACGGATGTGTCCGGCCACAACGGATGTTTCTATTCGAGTCGCAGCCCCGCAGCTCAGTCGGGTATCTTGCACGGCATTGCTGATAGAGATCCTCTCAGATCGTTGAGACGTCGCTGAGACAATGAACTTGGAAGTGATCTGCGCATTGGAGCGCACGTATCTCGCAATCCTCTTTCCTGCAAAGCGCCGCTCTTTCCACGTCTTCCCATGTTCCTTTCACACTCGTCATCACTTTGCTTCTGGCTCTCTCCGAAAGATCTCTATCAGCGTCTGTGTTTCCTCATACGGATTGACATCGGGTTCAGGTGGGCGCAGAAGTGCATTAACCCGAACAGCAATCCCGATGAAAGCCCATTCCCTAACCGTATGTATATTGTCTGGAAGTCTGTCATTGTGGGAGCTGTGCACTCCGGAGGTTCACACCAAGGCGGGGATGGTCGTCTGACGCTGTGAGCTAGGCACAAACCGGTCCCCAAGCTTGTCGCGGATGTTCGTCATGGCTGCCGTCAATGTTCACGTGGCTCGCCGTTCCGGCTTTGACCTATCTTGGTTTGAACAGCTGTCATTGGAGAAAGCTTGCAAGGACTGCTAAGTTCCTTTCATGCAGACTTGCGCTCACTCCGACCCTTTTGTCCGGGAGCAGGTGCACTTGCACACACAAACTGCAAAAGCATGTCCTGGCCAACCTCAGGGAGAAGGTGTTATAAATGGCGACTGCGCTTAGTCGATGTCCTCCCTTACACCCTTGCTATGCTCCCGTCAGATATCAGCATCTCATCCGATAAAAAAATCTCCGGCTATAACTCCATGCACCCGGTGAGTTTCGAACTCGCGACCCAGTGTACACTGACAGAACGGTGCCACTTGTCTACTGGGCTATATTACTGATAGGCACCACGCGGGCTATTACCGGAGGAAAGATTCATTTTGCTGCCTCAACAAGAGGTGAGCAGATTTATGAATAGTGCATGTGCGTGGAAGCTGACACAAGGCAGCACGTGAATGGACTATTGTTCAAATCTGTTAGGGCGACGAAAACAACTTTTCCTCTGGACGTACTGTCCCTCGCTGTATGTGCAGACATAATATGTATGACAAAAAAGTTGGTGCATATGTGGCCCTTCAAACTGATGTTCCGTAGGGACACCGATGTTCCGTCGGGAGCTGTCTGCAAGCAGGAGCAAGATCAAACCTTATCAGCAGGCATTAAAGACAAGTTTCTATACTGCCATCAAATTTTGTTCCGTCAGACTCAGTCATCCATGTGATAGCCACGTTGTATAAAGATGATTAGCGCTGGTGCATGTTGATCCGTCAATATGCACATGAGCTCATTCATCATGAACCACTGCTTAATCCACCATCCTCATGACAACGCCCTTGCTTGTCCCAGACATCTGTCTACGCTTGTGGATGGAGAACTGGTATGACCCCAACACCAATGTGCAGAACACAACGCTCATAAGACTGGATAATCTACCCAATGAGAATGTGGGGTTCATATACTCGCTTGACGAAGCATCTCGCACCAGGCAGCGCAATCAACACTTGATCATCCCTAGCTATAGTCAGGCCCTGGATCTTGCCAGCACTTCCGCATACCCCCTCGAAGTCCCCAGCAACAACTTCTTTCTAGTGCATGTATTCAAATACGAGATGCACACCATCCCCACGTTTGTCCGCGATGTCTACGCACACAAATTGCTCCACAAAGCATGCAATGTCAACTCCAGACAAGCATGGGAGGAATTCAACAACACAATTCGCAATGACGCCCGGGAGCCTGTCCCCGCCATTTGGGATATCACCATTTTTGCTGCCCACGCCCGTCCTGGCTGTATCGCTGAGCGCATAACGACCAACACCCACAACCGACAGTACAGAGTGCTCCAGAAGCTTGTCGATCTGGATGCAGAACACGCCGTATTCACTGCTTCGATTCCTGGCATCTTGTCTGCTAGTGAGTGTCTTGAGGAACAGTTTCTTCAGGCGTGGTCACTCACCATGAAAAGAAAACACAGACTGCTATGTCACACTCCCGACAGCATTTGTTGACCCCGGGTTCATGCAAAGACTGCCCGTGTGGCAGAAATACTACATTTTCCGCTATGCGGTTAGCCTTCTCCGGTGGTTGCGCATTCTTCCGACAGCACACCCTGGTCAGGTCGGCTCATTGCTCCCAGTGAGCGTAAGCGGTGCTGAGCGCATGCAGTCCGGACCTGATGCGTCGGTGGCATTGCTGACATCGAGGGTTAAACCTATGCAGTCCTCAGGTGCGTATTCTGGTACGCGTTCTGCATGCACTGCTCCTAACACACACACTGTTTTAAGAGTCCGCTCATATCCCACAAACTTGAGCAACATGCAGACCCCTGTTTCTACGCTCAGCGACGTGCATCCCGGAGTGCAGAAGTGGTTTATCCGTTTGCAGCATGGGTACTGGACTCGACACAGATGCGGCCACTTGTTTGGCTTGCAGTCTTGGTGTGTATGGCTGTGCTTCAGCAATGAGAGAATGGTATTGTTGATGGCCAGCGACGGGTGTCACGACCCGCTTCATTGAGTTGCTGGAAATGTCACGTCAACAGCCTGACCAGGGCATGCTGGGTTTCCATGTGTTTCATACATCAGCCTTCGCGTAGAATAGGATGATTACCATGTTTATACTACCTACTTTAATGTTTAATGCAATTGTAGATAGCCATGCGCGATGGGGATATGCCTGCAAATTGGGATAGTAGAACATCAAGAGGATATCGTTCCCAGCCTTACCCTCGCAGGGTTATGTGATGGGTGGTCAATGCTTCCGTCGCAATAGATCTAGATGCGTCAACCGTTGTTGGCTGCGACCGTGAGCAATCTCGAGAAAGTGTGTGTTTGACGTGGCCATCGGTGGGTTCGGAGAATCTGGCTCAGTGAAAAGGGCGCAATCGGATCAGTTCAGGGCCCTACCTCTCTCCGCCATCAAGCCGCCCATTGCACAATCTGCACTTGTTGTCATGGGTGACCTTTCAAGTCCTCAGCTTTTCGTCACAGCTACCTCTCTTTTTGACAAGATTGACGATGACATCAAATTGATCATGGCCAAACGTGCGCTATCGTCTCAGAGCCTCCCGGGCGCCTTGGCATCGTCAGTCCTCACATCGGTGCGCAAGACACACGCACTTGCCAACGAAGTCAGGCAGGAGTACTGCCTGATTGTGCAAGAGACACTAGACGTCTGGAAGAAGCTACAGGCACTTCAAGACGAACTGACGATAGTCATAGATGAAGCGGATTACATGGAGGTGATGGTAGTGGGGTGCGGTGTCATGTTTCAGAGGCCTGTCGATCCCAAACTGCCGCACGTTCAACATGCCTTCAGAGCGTGCCACTCCGAGTACTATAACATCTATTGCAACGTTCAAAAGGTCATTTGCGCGACGCTTGAGATGCTGTCGGAGTACAGGGACACCCTGCGTGTCTTAAACAATAGACTGGGGGCACTCATAGAGAAGGTGGAGCTACTAAGAAATGGAGAGCTGTACGTCTTATACGCCTTATGCGTGTGCTCCCACATGTCATTCACTCAATTGACGGCTGTCAGGTGACTGTGGCTCTAGAAATGGCCGTGCGGGCGGGGATTTGGAAGGCACTCTTTTCACTGCTTGACTGGGGAGACAATGCTGCCTGTCGTAATCGTGTCCAAGTTGCAACAGCCGAGTGTTCACGCTATGATGTCTAATATCTCACAATGTAATAATGTGTGCAAACCACGAAGCCTTACTATAAACCATGTCGCAGGCTGTAAAGTGACGCAATGATCAGAGGCTATGGTATCATACAACGAAGAACGGCAGCCTTAAGCCCTGCGTCGTGAGTTTGGCTGTTTGGACGTAAAAACACCCCGCCTCATGTCCTACTTCGACTAGCGGGGGTACCTGCCACATGCGGCCGTCATACGACTGTACATGGCGAGTTAACTAGACTATCGGAAATTCAGTACACACGCACAAAAGTCCTATGTCGCATTACCCCATACCTCGCTGCTATGGCGACTGCGGTGCACAAACCTTGCGCGTGCACTTTGTCAACAAAAGCGGGTCTTTGTCCGCTGTCAGAAAACCCGCATTATAAATCTACATCACTTATTCTGAAACACGTGCTCGTCTCACTCTCCCCATGTAGGCAATTCTCTCATGAGATCTCTGGGCTGTACGGCTCCAATGCCCGCCTCCCGTGTACGTGGACTTTTGTTATTTTCCATCAAAGATTCTCGCTTCTAAAAGGAGCTTTGCTGGTACCCATCTATGTTAAGCGTCTCAGCTTACAACGTCAGAGCTACTTTGAGACGTTTGTTCTTGATGTCGTCTTCTCTGAGCTCATCGTTGGTTGCCGTAATAAGTCGCTTAAGAATGGGCCCGTTTCTGGGATCAGAATCTCGTTGACGGTGTTTAGTGACGCGTTGGAAAGCTGTGTCGGCAGGTGACGGTCGCCGCCAAAGCAGCTGTTGAATGTCAGGTACATATACACCAGGAACAGGTCTCTAGTTTACTTACTAGCTCATCAGGTATGTTAGCCACAAGCGGTAAGGTAATTATCTTGCGTATAAGAGCGCGAACGCTAGGTAGTGTCTCGCGAACTATAGCCTCTGCTTCCCGTATAAAGTTCGCAAACTCGGGGCGCGCAATAGTGAGCACCCTCTGTTTAAACTCGTTATACAAATGAATAAAGTGGCGCGCGCGCGATTTATCTCCGACACTCATGCTCTTTAGGCTCAGAGTTACCGCTTTACCCGAGAACGAAGTAAAAGTTATCGAGTCATTCACGGGTGAGACACGTCGGCAATAACGTTTGTGCCTCTGCCAGTCGTCAATCTGGCACGTTCTAGAGCAGTATCTTGATTTGTTCAGGACGTCACAAGATCCAGCGCACAGTTTAAAATCGCGCGGTGTCCACGACATAAACATGCAATCGGGCCTGGAGCACACCAGTAGTTGGCTCTTGGGACGCTCGTCGTGACTGGTCCACGGACCACCTTGGCGCATGATTAAGTCAAATTTTGCGATGGTTCGGATGCATGCCGCCATCATGAGAACTTGAACTCCATCGTCTAGTGACAGTGTGCTGTACCATGCACCATCGAATATCCCATGTCTTGCTTTGACTCGGTAGTCGTAGACAGCGTTGTACTGAGCGGTCGTCCAGATTCCAAGTTCCGTCGCTCGCTCACCGTACTGCAAAGCGGAGAGCAAGTCACGGTAGTGACGGGCACGCTGGTACTTTCTGAGATACATGGCACACAGTAGCGCACTGGCCTGCCCAATGCGATGGGCGCTTTGCTGTTCGACGTCTGTTGTCCACATTAAAGTGCTCACACCGTCTCTGATTTGAAGACGAGCTAGACTCTTGAGGATCTGAAATGCCAATGGCCGATTCTTGGAACATCTAACTCCACAGTATAGGTGGACAGCCAGGTAGATGAGTTCTCTCGCTGAGGGACGACCAGCAAGAACCTTATCTACGCGGACATGGCAAGGACTGAGAGCAGCGAAGGTGTGGTACCAGTGATGATCTATCCACAGAGCAAAGGCTACCTGGTCGGAGGCGAAGTATTGATAGGGGATCCCGGGGTAGTGCATGGCGTACCATGTGCGCGCATCCGAGGTATGTGCAAGCAACGCGTAGACGCCGAATATATCTGGAGTGTCAATGTCACCATGAGCGCGTCCGGATAGCAGAAGCGCGCTCGACGAGCAAGGGAAGCGAGTGCTGGGACTCATGGTGCGATCTTGCAAAAAATTAGGAAACACTGGCTTAAGAGTAGATTGACGTAGTTTGCTTATACCGCTTAGCCGCAAGATGGGATGGCATAGTGACATCTACTAAAGCATGGTTCGTCTGCGGCGAAACATTGAAACACCCCACTCTTGACTTGTCTTCATCTCATTCACAATCATCTGTAATATCCTCGACGTGGACCAGTGAGATGGCATCATGTCATCATCCGTAAAGGAAACGTAGAAAAGATGTGGCAGCAGTACACCCAATCCTATGGTCCTGCCAAGGACAGATGACCTCGCATCTGGGCCATCTAAAAATGGAGATACCTCTTGTCATACTACGTTCAACAGTCACAGGAGCGACAAGCCTATTCTTGGTTGCGCATACGTCTGTGAGAATCAAGTGGCAGCTCAATGGTCTGCACAAGTACACACATCAGCTTCTCAGTCACTTCTCATAACAGAACGTAGGTAGAGTAGATAGGCTGGGGTACAGTGATATTCACTGAGCAGTCTCTTCATCTGTAGGAAAAATAATAAAGTGGCTCTATACATCGCAAGTGGTTTAAAAGGCACTAGTGGCGGAGGACTTCCTTGTATGTCACCATCTAATTCCAAGTAAATTACAGCAGTGAGGCCTCATGGCAAGTCCTTTCTTTAGGTTGACGTCCAAAAGAAATAAGCGAGGTTGAAGCTTCTCATGATTGCTGCATGAGTGAACACGAGCCCATACATCATGAATACGCTACTGAAGCCACGTCATGATCAATCACGGAAATAGCAATCAAGCTGTCTTCAAAGCACCAGGTGACACGGATTTCATACACAGTCAGATTCAAATAGATCATGGGCGACGTCAGAGAACCACCCCCGCCTGTCATGTAATACCTTACACCTTGCTTTTATATGAGCCAAAAACACGTGAACATGTAATCAGACAAAAACTGATAAAGTGCCTACGCTCCCACATAGAGTAGTCACACATTCTTCAGCCCTGAAGACATTCTGTGTGCGACTGCTTTGTGTGAGGGTTAGATACTCCATGCCTACAGTCCACGCATGCTATCGGGCTGACAACATGCTCTGCTTCCAGAGTTGTGCCCGAGCGTCTACGTCCTTGTGCGAGTCAGGAAGGGGTCAAGAATGAGATTGAAACAGTGTTAATGCAAGAGCAGTACTCGACCTGTGGAGGACAATATTGTCAGACACAGGCTAACACAGTGTGTATTGTCATGTAGATCAGACTGACAGTGTAGAGCATCATAATTCCAGACACGGTACACATGATCGCAG